TTTAGATTCTGATTAAATGTTAACTTGGTGGTAAATTACAGGAGCAAACTGCTACATCTTTCTTCTGCAGAGCCTTTCAACTGGCAGATCTTGGCTACCAATGTTGATTGTTACTGTCTTTTGTACTGTTAACCACAAGCTGTAACTTTTAATTTGTTTCTTAAGTTGTTTTGCACTAGACTGTTGGCTCTATCACTAGGTCAGTAGGACAGTATATATATTTTTGGTTCATCTTGGTAGTCTCAGTATCTAACATATCTTGACATATTATAGTTATTCAATTGTTGATACTACTACCCTCGTTTTCTTTTCTCTATAATAATTCTGAGATGTGCTGTGTTCATCTCTCAGTCTTTCAAAGGACATAGCGAAATCAAACTCACATACTGTTATGTAATTGGTTCTGACTCATGGCAACTCTCCATTCAGTTTCCAAGACTCTTGATCATCATAGGAGGAGACAACCTCTTGCTTTTCCCTTGGAGCCACTTGTGGATTTGGACCATGGGGAATTTGCAGCTTTTAAGTTAAAAACACAACTGGTAATGGACTACCAGAGCTCCTTGAAAGTCTATAAAATAAGAAAAGGTCCAGTTTGGTAACTTGCAACTCAGTGCAGAAGTAGAAGGAAGTTAGGTATAGCAATGTTGTCTAGGAGAAGCAGGGTAGAAAAAAAAATCCACTAGATTTGACATTGTCAGCAATTTGGACCCGTCATCCTCTCTAGGGAGGAAGGACTGGCACACTGCTCTTTGAAATTATAGCCTGAGAAACTCCTAGTACAGTTCTACTCTGCCCTGCAGGCTTGCTATGAGTCACGAGTGACACAATGACACCTAACCACACCCTTGGACTCATTCACCTTTGACATAGGAGATTTGTGAGATAGATTACAAAATGTTCCCTGAATCTTGAAAAGTAATAAAAATTTTTTCCTTGTGAATAGTAAAAGAAATGCATAAGTGAATATTTTATGGAAAAAATATATATCTAAAAATATACGGATAGCACAATAGTAAATGTAGTTTGAAGGGTATGCGATAGAAACGAAGGAAGAAAGGAGGGTTGAAGATAAAGAAAACTACTAGGGAGGGTAGAAGGAGAATTGATGCCTTTGAGCTGTGGTGCTG